GCTTATTAAGCACCCACTATGTGCTGGATGCTTTGTCCCTGTCAGAAGTAGTATGACATCCCAACTAGGAGTGCCGAGCAATGGAACCAAAAAGACCTAGAGCAGTGATGGCGAACCTATGACACGCGTGTCAGAGGTGACACGCAAACTCATTTTTTGGTTGATTTTTCTTTGTTAAATGGCATTTAAATATATAAAATAAATATCAAAAATATAAGTCTTTGTTTTACTATGGTTGCAAATATCAAAAAATTTCTATATGTGACACAGCACCAGAGTTAAGTTAGGGTTTTTCAAAATGCTGACACGCCGAGCTCAAAAGTTTCGCCATCACTGACCTAGAGTCACAACCTAGCTCTTCCGTTTTCTAGCTGTGTGGCTTTGGGCAAGTTACTTAAGCTCTCTGTGCCTCTGTTTTTCCATCTGTAGAATGAGGATAATAGGTATCCCACAGGATGATTTTGATCTTTATGTAATCTGCACAATAGCCCTGTTATAGGTTGAACTGTGCCCCCACCAAAATATGTTGAAGTCCTAACCCCAGGACCTATGAATGTGACCTCATTTGGAAATAGGGTATTTCCAGATGAGGAAGTTAAGATGATCCAACATAACTGGTGCCCTTATAAAAAGGTGAAATTTGGACACAGGGACATAGAGGGAAAATGCCATGTGATGATGAAGGATTGGATGGTGCATTCCCAGCCAAGAAAAACACCAGAAGCTAAGAAGATACAAGGAAGGGTTGGTTTCCCTAAAAGTTTCAGAGAGATCATGGCCCTGCCGACACCTTGATTTTGGACTTCTAGCCTCCATAACTGTGAGACAAGAAGTGCCTATTGTTTTATGCCAGCCAGTTTGTGGTACTTTGTTACAGCAACCCTACCAAACTGATACACCCCTGCCATGGGAATAAAAAGTATTCTCGCCTGGTCAGCGTGGCTCAGTGGTTGAGCGTTGACCCATGAACCAGGAGGCCATGGTTCGATTCCCGGTCGGGGCACTGTTATACCCAGAGTTCGGGGTCCCCAATAATTCACCACCAGGGAGCCTTTTCCCATGCAAAAGCAAAGAGTCGTTTATTCAAACCCAGGTTTGGCTCCCGGTCTCTGTCGGACGCAGCGGTGAGACGAGAGAGCGTGTCCCAGGAGAACAAAGGTTATATAGGGCAAGTTATTCGGGTGGGCTTTAGGGGTGACGTGAGTTACAGAGATTGGTCATTTAGGTCAGAAGGGTCAGGAAGGGAAGTGACCAACACATTCTGAAGTTTAGAGCCATCCTCCACTATAGCCTTATTAGGACCTTAGCTGCATTTCTGGAGCTTCATTGGTCCACTCAGATAGTGATTGGGGGAGTTAGGACAATACCAGCATTCTTGTGGTCACTCTCAGAAAAAGGGGGAGGGGAGTGGCTTGTGCTGAGGGCCCAGCCTTGCAAGACAAGATAGAAGAGAGGGAGGAGAGTGTGTCTCTGCTCAGTCCTTGAAAAGGGAGGTGGGCGTGTTCCTGCTTTGTTCTTTCAGGCACATGCCCGGGTTGTGGGCTTGATCCCTGGTAGGGGTATGCATGAGGCAGCTGATTGGTGATTCTCTCTCATCATTGATGTTTCTACCTCTCTCTCTCTCCCTCTCCCTTCCTCTCTGAAATCAATAAAAATATTTTTTTTAAAAGTATTCTCATTTTTAGATGAAGAACTGAAGCTCAGAGAGGTAAAGTTTGTCTCCAGATCACTCATCTATAGGTGGTCGAACTGAGATTTGAATCTGGGCCACTCTGAGCCCATCTGCCCTCTCTGATCACTAGGTGGCCTCTCAGGAGCAGAGCTCAAGAAGAAAAGGGCCCTAACTGGTTTGGCTCAGTGAATAGAGCATCGGCCTGCGGACTGAAGGGTCCCAGGTTCGATTGCAGTCAGGGGCATGTACCTGGGTTGCGGGCACATCCCCAGTGGGGAGTGTGCAGGAGGCATCTGATCGATGTTTCTCTCTCATCGATGTTTCTAGCTCTCTATCCCTCTTCCTTCCTCTCTGTAAAAAAATCAATAAAATATATTTTAAAAAAAAGGAAGAAGAAAAGGGCAGTGAAGTTAGAACGAGCCCCAAAAATATATTTTTTTTAAAAAAAAAAAAGAAGAAGAAGAAAAGGGCAGTGAAGTTAGAACGAGCCCTATCATCACAACCAAGTCCTGGTGGAGGCACCTGGCTGGAGTGGTCTGATTATGAACAGTTCATTAAGTAAAGAGCAGTGAGTGTTGGAGAGTGACTTTTTAAAAAGAATCGACTTTTATTTATAGTGACATTCCAGTCATTAATTTTGAAGGAAGAAAGCCCAAAGCAGAAGCAGGCTCATTAAAAATTTGACATTAGTAATTTAATTAAATTGGGTCTTTGGGTCCTGTTGCTGAAAATGAACGGTTAGTTCTACACCAGTTCTCAGCCCATTCCCCCTTTTTGGCTCCCTCCCCTCACCTTAGCTTTCTTCTCCAAATGTTTACCTGACCAGCCCCTCCTACCCCCAGCACACACACACACACCCCACAGTCACTGCCTCTGCTGCAAGCCAGTAGAATGGGATTATGGGATGCCATATAAGCCAGCAGGAGGATCATGGGAAACAACATGGAAGCCAACAGGAGGATCATGGGTAATGCCAAGCAGGCCAGCAGCATGGGATCATGGGAAGCATTAAGGAAGCCAGCAGCCAATTATGGGAAATGCCAAGGAAACCAGCAGTGTGGGATTATGGGAAATGTTAAGCTATGCTAATGAACAGGCTGATGGAGGTAAATTCTTTTGTCTGGGTCATCTCACTTGTCAGAAGTAGAGAATGGGCAAGGAAGAGCTCTTCCTTAAGGTAACTCACAAAAACAGGCCTCTTGAGGGCGGGGACCTGCATTGTCTAATTCACTACTCCAAGCACAGTAGGCCCATAGTAAATTTTTGTTCCATGAAGGCATTAATATAAGAATGAATAACTCTCCCAAACAACTAGTTAATGAGTACACAACTATGTCCCTACAAGTGCCAGGCACTGTGGTAGACTCCCAGGATACCCCAGGGACCAGACCAGGCCCCTGCCCTCGTGGCATTATAGTCCAGGGGAATGATAACATCTGCCATTTTTTGAGCATCTGTCACGTGCTGGGCATGGTGCCAGGCATGCGTCCTTTATTATTGGTAACCTTCTCAGCCACTAGATAATTACTATCCTCCTTTCTCAGTTGAGGAACTAGAGCTCAGAGAAGTCACATGGCTCAAGACGGTGACAGCACCTGGTTTCAGACACAGTCCAAGCTGGTTTCAGTCTGACCTGTCAGCCTCTACACCTGAGCTGTCCTCCTAGAAGGAGAGGAGAAGGAGGAGGGAAAGCTCTCTGCAGGTTCTGAGTCCATTAGGGCTGGCAGAGGGGTTCCTGCCAGGTGTTCCTGGCAACATGGGCAGGAGGAGGGTACTGCAGGGCCTGGAGGCCCTCTAGGATCCAGGCTGGCCACCTCCACATCATCTCCTCCTCATCATTGCCCCCATCCTGCCTCTCACCCCAGGCTCCCCGAGCTCCTAGGCTACCTCTAGCCTCAAGGTCTTTGCACATGACATTTCCTCCCCCTGGCACACTCTGTGGCATAAGCTAGTAATTCTTACTAATCTCAGGGCTCATCATGGGTGGCACCTCTTCCAGGAAGCTGTCTCTGACCTACCTACACTGGGTTTGGTTGGTCCGCTGCCTGGTCCCTATCCCATCATAACACAACATACCATTATCCACCCACATCTTCCACTGAACTGGGAGCGTAGATTCGCTTATGTTGCATTTACTGTATACCAGACTCTGTCCCATGCCTTAACTCCATTTAATTCTCACAAAAACCCCATGAGGGAGGAAGGTACTGTTGTGATCACCATCTTACAAATGAGGAAACTGAGGCACAGAGAAATTGAGAGACTTGCTCAAGTTCCCATAGGCAATAAGCCATCAGGCAGGGATGCAAACCTAAGTACTGCGGCTCTCGAGTCTGTACTCAACACCACCCTGTTCTTCAGCCTCAGCAAATCATCGCCGGGGGAATTAATGGAGAGGTATTTGGATGGGAGTCTGGATGTGGTTGTGACCCCTTGTCCCAGCCCTTTGGGGTCATCCTGGAGTGGTGGGAGCATGACCTTCTGTGCACAGGCAGCTCCACTTCTGGGGAGAAAGGCAGAGGGTAGGGGGAGTTGGGTCAAGGTGAATGGCGACTCAGACACAGAGGAGCTGCACGCTCCCTCCCTCCTGATTGGGGGGTCACGAAGCTCTCGCACCCTCACCAAGACTGCTTCCCAGCTGGGGGTGCCTTTGTCTGAGGCGGTCACGAAGCTCTCGCACCCTCACCAAGACTGCTTCCTCTGGATAATAAGAGCACTTCCCAGCTGGGGGTGCCTTTGTCTGAGGTCGCACAGTGTACAGCGTGTTCTCCAGCTCCATTTTCTCAGTGGGATCAGTCGGGTCAGATCAAAACACAAGGCTCTTGTCTTCCCACCTCACTGCCTACACCAGCACTAATGACTCCTTCAGCTCCCCCAACCTCCTGGGCCAGCGTACCCCTCTGGCTGTGAGGACAGACACACATGAAAGAAAGCACATCTGGTTTAATGAGCAGCTACTCCATGCCGAGCTCCCTGTCCCTTCCATGGTGTTTCTGAGGAGTGTGGAGTCTGAAATCAGGGCAACCAAATCCAGGAGATTAAAGTGCTTCCCAGGGCATCTGGAGTGATGGGATGGAGGTACTCCACATCCAGGGCTGTGCAGGAGGAAAGGCAGGCAGCCGGGCAGTCTGTTCTAAGTCACAGGTGTGGCTCCTCCTTAGCGTGACCTCTGAGAGTGTTCTGGGACCAGGCGGCCTTGAGAGGGCCAACCCCTTCCCACAGGGGAAAGGAGACAGGCACGGGCGGGTCGTGCCCAGGGAGGTGCTGCTCTGAAGCAGAGTGTCAGGCTCGAGCCCCGCTCACGGCCCTGTGTCTCCCTCTCTCACAGTGCTCCCAAGTCACACGTGTGGAAACCCTGGGCGGCTGCCCAACGGCATCCAGCAGGGCTCCACCTTCAACCTGGGCGACAAGGTCCGCTACAGCTGCAACCCCGGCTTCTTCCTGGAGGGCCACGCCATCCTCACCTGCCACGCGGGCTCCGAGAGCAGTGCCACGTGGGACTTCCCCCTGCCCTCCTGCAGAGGTAGGTTCCAGGCCGGGTCCCGTGGGAGAGAATGCTGGAGCCTTCAGTGGGACCCCGTCTCCAGTGAGGGAGCTGTACCATCCACTCCAGCAGGGCCTGGGGTCCTCACTCTGGGAGCCCATGCCTGGGGGACCCCAGGCATTCTAGGGTCTTCTCATCCTCACCTGACCTCCTAGCCCTCAGGTGTGCACTCTCTCGCTCTCTTTCCCCTATATCAACAGTCTGCCCTCACCCCCTACCCTCCTGTCTCAGAGGAAACATGGTTTCTCTCCCCCTCACAGACCACCTCCTCATGTGCGTGGATCTCTCTCCCAGCTGCTTTCTTTCTGACCTCACCCTGGCAATTAGTTTTTCTCTTTCCTATAAACCCAACCCCTCCTCCTATTTAATGGTGTCCTCTCTGTCTACTGTGACTCAGTGGTTGAGCCTCGACCCATGAACCAGGAGGTCACAGTTCAGTTCCCAGTCAGGGCACATGCCCGGGTTGTGGACTCGATCCCCAGTGTGGGGCATGCAGAAGGCAGCCAATCCATGATTCTCCCTCATCACTGATGTTTCTAACTCTCTCTCCTCCCTTTCTCTCTCTGAAATCAATAAAAACATATTTAGCCCTAGCCGGTTGCTCAGTGGTTAGAGTGCCAGCCCACAGACTAAAGGGTCAAGGGCGTGTACCTGGGTTGCAGGCTCCATCCTGGGCCTTGGTCCAGGCAAGTGTGGGAGGCAACTAATTTCTCTCACGTGGATGTTTCTCTCTGTCTCTGCCCCTTCCTTCCACTCTCTTTAAAAATCAATGGAAAAAATATCTTCAGGTGAGGATTAACAACAGCAAAAACATAATAACACATGATCAGTTTTAAATAATCTTAGAAAATAACAGAAAAGAATAAAGAAGAAACAAAATGTATCTGTTTTAACCACGATTTTCATGTCTTTCCATTTTCTTTCAGGATATATATTATGAATAGGTACATAATTAAGATTATAATGCAGATACATGGTTTTTTATCCACCTTTTAAAATCTGGTGGTGCACCGCTGGGCCACCCAGCTTCCCTGTACTACCAGAAACGCCAGCATCATGAAAGCTCTGTGCAGCCTGGCTCTCTCCCCACCTCCCATTCACTGCTCTGCAGGCCGACCTCTGCCCCCAGCATTCTGCATCTTGTTGCCAAATCAGATGGGAATTGTGCTGGCCCTTATATTCTTTGACCTCTCTACAGCCTTTGCACTATTGACCACTCTTTTCTCCTTGCAATTCTCATCTTTAAATTCTGTGGATCCCAGAGACCCAGATACAGGTCTGGGAAGATCATTTGACGGAGTTGAGAAATAATTGAAACAAGGAGCTCTCCTGGGGTTCAGATTTTACCTTTCTTTTAGAGGAAGATGTTCTGTAATTACTCCCACCGTGTGCACACACCCTTCCCACAGTCTATACCGGGATGGAAAATACATGGCACATACATCTCTTCCCGCTCTGATGGCGGGCAAGACTAATTGATTAGAGCACCCTTTCTGCTTGAGTCCAGACACTGCTGTGCGTTCCTTTCCAACAGGCAAGCCACAACCAATCAACATGGGTTGACTTGAATGGGTCCACTTGACTCCACGTTTGTTTGACCCTCCTCAACTAATAGTATTGGCCTCAGCCACCTTGGCCTTCTTGGTGGGGCCGGAGGCAACTGGAATCTCTTGTCCTGCCTTCCTAAGTCCCTTCCTCTCAGGCCCTGTTTCTCATGTGGGCCATGCCTCTTTAGTCACATGATCTGCATCAGGAATGACCGGACCAATTACGGAATTTGTATGGCCAATCCGATCAGGCCCCTACCTACAGGTGTATGGCCCTGAGTGTCTAACCCCAGCCTGCAGCTGCTGCATTCACCCTTCTCAGAGCATCCTTGCCCACCCCCCATGCAGAGAATGTCAGGTTAACAGACTGACCTTCCTTCCACGGAGGGGCAACAGCGCTTTGACATGATAATAGAAATCACGATAGTAAACAAATACTGACACTGTGAAACAGAAACCAACAGTCTCTCCCATTTACAGCACCATAAACGTCAGACACTGTTGATCAATATGGAAACTAAAAACAAATGTAGCGCAAGTATCAGAGGCGGAGGGGCTGTCCGCCTGCCCTGGGAAGATCAATTCACACCAACATCCCATCCCAATGTGGTGCAAACCACCATCCCTCTCAGAATCTTCCAGAAGCGGTGTCAGCTTTAGCTTCTTCTCAACCTTGAACTCACTGCTGTGCCTCACTCCCTGGGTTCTGCTTTGCCAACTTAGGTCAGGATCTTGGCCCACGTTTGTGCCACTCCCTCCCAAATAAAGCAAAATAAGAACAAACAAAACCACTAACAAAGGTGTTTCATGAAGCACAGCCTTTATTGAAGGTTTGTGGCAACACAGACAGTTTGCCTCCCAGCCAGGCAAATGGCTTAGAGTGAAAGTCTGAGCAGCCCAGAGTCTCCCCATCTTTTGGTCTCTTTTCCCTGGAAGCTTCTCCCTGGCTCTGTCTCCTCAGGCTCCCGCTTCCCCTGTGGGGTGCTTACACCTTCTCCTCCTCCTTCAGCCTCCTCCACATTGCAGCCTCTGGACCTCGGCCCCATTTCGGGGCCTCTGCTGGCTTCTCAGGCCCAGGAGCCCGGTCTCGCCTTGGCTTTGCCATCTCCCTCCAGGCTGGTGTCTCCCTGCCCCCCCATGCGAGGCTAGGGTGGTCCTTTCCTGCATGAAGAGGCTTTCACCTGGAAGAAACTCTGGGGATGGCTGTTCACGTAGCTTTTTTGTTAACTCACCAGTGAAAGACAAGTGATGAGGGCCGTGATCCGGTCATTCCTGATTCGAATGACATGTGACTAAAGAGGCATGGCCCACATGAGAAACAGGGCCTGAGAGGAAGGGACTTAGGAAGGCAGGACAAGAGATTCCAGTTGCCTCCGGCCCCACCAAGAAGGCCAAGGTGGCTGAGGCCAATACTATTGGTTGAGGAGGGCCAAACAAATGTGGAGTCAAGTGGACCCCTTCAAGTCAACCCATGTTGATTGGTTGTGGCCTGCCTGTTGGAAAGGAACGCACAGCAGTGTCTGGACTCAAGCAGAAAGGGTGCTCTAATCATTTAGTCTTGTCTGCCTCTAGGACAGTGGTTCTCAACCTTCTGGCCCTTTAAATACAGTTCCTCATGTTGTGACCCAACCATAAAATTATTTTCGTTGCTACTTCATAACTGTAACGTTGCTACTGTTATGAATCATAATGTAAATATCTGATATGCAGGATGGTCTTAGGTGACCCTTGTGAAAGGGTCGTTCGACCGCCAAAGGGGTCGCGACCCACAGGTTGAGAACCCCTGCTCTAGGAGGTCTTCTTCACAGATGGACTCAGGGCCCACAGTCTGCACCTGCAGGCCTGGGGCAGCCCGGACTAGCCTTTCAGTGGGAGACGTGGGCTGGGATGACACTGCTCCCCTAGCTCACATCACAGTAGTAATTTGCAGGCATAGGGCACCTTCTCATGACACAACTTTTCCGCAAGCCTCCCCTGATTCTCTTTTGGCCTCAGACGATAGCAATTCTTCTTAAATATGTGGCTTCTTCCCTACAAACACCTTGCCTCTCTTGGAATTGCTCAGCCACTACATGGCTTCTAATTGTTGTTTCGGGGGTGGCTCTTTGATTTCTACCTCCAACCCTGCCCTGTGTCCCGAGCTTCAGGCCCACATGGGGACCAAACGCTACTGAACCCTTCCCAGAGTGAGCCTCAAATGGGGCATATCTAAAACCTAACGTTCTCTGTTTCCCCAAACCTGCCCTTTGGGCTGCCTCCCCCAGCTCAGGGAAGAGTGTCACCATCTAAGGTGGTCTGGCCAGACACCCTAGAGTCACCTTACACTCTTCCCCTTGGCTCCCTGCTCATCGGTCACCATGTCCTGGCGAATCTCCCTCTGCACTGGCCTCTCCTCCCCGCCTCCACCACTATTTAGACAGAGGGCTCTGGCTTGGGATGGCCCAGGCCCTCTCATCTCTCACCTTCTCACTGCAAAGGGTCCATCACTGGGCAGCTGTCCCCCAGCCCCTACCACACACACCCCAAACCATTCTCCGTGGCCGAGCGATCTTTCTAAGACGCAGATCTGACAGGACCACTCATTGCTGAGAATCCTGCCAGCGGGTCTTCATCACTGACAGGGTCAAGTTCATATTCCTCAGCATGGAGCACCAGGCCCTTTCCGCCGACTTTCCTGCATCCTCTCTGAGCATCTTCAGTCATAGCAGAGATTGCTCCCTCTGGAACTCACCAGGAAAGCCAGCCCAGGATGCAAATCTTGCTTTCAGAGGGGCTTTGAGCCCGAAGACCTCTTGGTGCCTGAGGGGCTGAGGTGTGGCTCTCCCAGCGCCTCTGCCCACCCCGTGCTTCAGGCCCATTCCTCTATTCTAATTCGCCACAAGCTTTAAGAATAGCCAGAGAAGCACCCTCAATCATGTGAGCGACTTCCCGGAAGAGGTTTTGTAAACTGTCCTTCCTTAGGAGGCGAAGCTAAACCAGAGCTGAGAGTGCTCACCGTGGGCTGCGCTGTGCCAGGAGCCGCGGTCACGCCAGAGTTAGCGGGTTCACACTCAGGCAGGATTAGAGCCTTTTGGTCTTCCTTCCTCTCATGTGGAACTCTCAAGGGCTGGCATCTGTGAGTGGATAAACCTCATCCACTGGGCAGTGGTCCCTAAATATTTGCTGAGTGAACGGATGGCTGGATGGGTCTACTTCACCATCAGGATTATGCAGGATCATCCAAAGGGAAATGACTGGCCTGGGTTAGCCCACCTGCCCAGCAGCTACGAGTGACACAAGGTCTTTGCATCCAAGGCTTCCAGGAGCAGGAGTGAGGACTGTGTGCCTCTGCTTGGTACAGGAAGTGCCATGTTCCTGGCTGAATGGTGGTTTTAGCCTGGGGACACAGCTCAGACTAAGAGGGAATAGATACCAGCTGGGCTCAGGGGGGCA